CAGACCGGAGAGGAGGGGGCGCTGAGAGCCCTGCCTGGGTTCAGCGAGGGGACTTGTCCTGAGAAAAGCGCAAGCAAAGGCCGGCTTGGGGTGGGGGTGGTGTTCCCGCTTTTCCCCTCGTGAAGGCGCCGGGAAGACACCCCTTAGTCAGCGCCTCCGGGGGGGGGAGGGAGCGCAGAACAGCGGCCGCGATCCTCCGAGGCTTTATGACAAGCGTTCAAAGGCTTGAGGATCGCCGTGCCCGTCATGTGCCTGCGTTTATCTCGCTGATGGCTTTTGCTCGTCTTCTTTTTCCCTCCCTAGGAAGTGAAGAAAGAAGAAATTTCGTCGCGGGAACGAAGCTGCATCTTTAAAATACATCACTAGATAGATTGCTGTAAGAAAAATTGCAATCGGCGCCGGACCATGGCAGAGGAGGAACATACTGCTCCCAGCACCCCCACGATCCCTTCCGCTCCCCCGAGCAGGAGCAGCCCCGAGGCGGCCGTCCGCGAGCCCTGCCCGGGCTGCTGCGAGAGCAGCCGCTGCAACGTGCTGACCTGGGAGCAAGTGCAGCGCCTGGACCGGATCTTGAGCGAGACCATCCCGATCCACGGCCGGGGCAACTTCCCGACGTTAGAGATGCAGCCGCGGCAGATCGTCAACGTGGTGCGGAGCCGCCTGGAGGAGAAAAGCATCGGCGTGCGGGACGTCCGCCTCAACGGCTCGGCGGCCAGCCACGTCCTGCACCAAGACAGCGGCCTGGGTTACAAAGACTTGGACCTCATCTTCTGCGCCGACCTGAAAGGGGAAGCCGAGTTCCAGACTGTCAAAGACGTGGTCCTGGACTGCCTTTTGGATTTCTTACCCGAAGGAGTTAACAAGGAGAAGATCACCCCCTTGACCCTGAAGGTAAGCCCGACACGCGTGTTTGCGCGCCACCAGCCCCTGCTTGGCTCTTCTGCGAAAGGAGTCGTTCCAGACCTGTGCCAGGGAAGCCCCCGGCAGAGAAGCTGGTCCTTTTTTTAAAAAAGCTTCCTGCAAAAATGCAGAATAGATTCCTTTCCTCCCCCCCCACCCCCCTACCGCTGGCCCGCAGCCTTTCCAGGGCTGCTAGTGAAGGGTGTTAACAAACACACCTCTTCTACACAACTGATTGAAAAAGTGAACTTGGAAGGGCACCATTCCTTGGAGAGGAGGGGGGGGGGCGTACATATATCAGTAATCAACTTAATTGTTATTGGCCTGTGGAGGAGAAAGAAGCCCATGTTGCTTTAATGACAGCCTGATTAGTAGGTAAAGTCACTTCTGTTCCTGCTTTCTCATTACCGCTTGGGTTTTTATTGGGTTATGGAGAGGGCCCGCTAGAGGGAAACAGTACAGTGCTCCTACCTTGTCCTGTGGCCCTACAAATGCTTAGGAGATGTAAAATTACTGAAAATTTCCATTTTTTTCCAGAAGAAAAGTTTTTCCCCCTGTTGTTGTTTTTTTCCCCTGGGGGAAAAATGGAATTTTTCAGAAATTTTACATCTTAACAAATGTGCCCAGTTAGAGAGCTCCCAAGTTTGTTCTGCTGAAGTGGGCTAAGCTCTCTCTTCTGCCCTATGTTGACAGCCTGGTATGCCTTGCCTACTTTCTCTTCCAAGAAGCTGTGCTTGCTGCCAGTCGCATCTGGCACCCTCTGGGTTGGACTGGGCATCCTGTCATCCCCCAGCTGCCATGGCCAGTGGCTGTACTGGCAAGGGATGATGGTTTAGCAATATCTGCAGCAACCCACGTTGTGGAAAGCTGGTGCTTATACAGCATTGGAAGTCACTTTTTTGCATGGTGAAATCCAGTCCCTTTCAATCCCAGTTAGTGTTTCTAATGTGGTTGTGAATCAGGCCTCTTTTGCCTCTCCGCTTCAGGGAGACTACCTTCAAAACCTATGGTTTAAATGACCTATTAAATAAGTCTTTGGTTTGGAAATGGAGATGTACATCACCTCAGACCCCCTTCAATATTTAGCCACTTTCCCCCCTCTGCAGGAGAATCTGCCAGTGATTTTAAAGACTTTGGGCATACTGTCTGCACTCTTGTGTGTACCAGTTTCATATCTTTGGAATAAAAGCCTTAAGGAAATCCTTACAGAATATGTCCTTTGTGTAGCTACCATGCTGCGCACGCTCCCTCTCTCTTTGGTTCTGTGCAACTGCATGTCTGCAAAACCGCATGCTAAATCTGTCTACAGTGTGTCTCTTTCTTACGCCTAGGCTATGTAAATTGCTCTGCTGCAGGCTTAGGGCAGGGTGGAGGTGGGATCCAGATGCAAATGAAGATCTCAAAGAGGAGGGTTTTTGTAATTGATTTCCTGATCTGCTCTCCTCCTCCCGTCTTTCTCCTTTTTCCCCCCTGTGTCTTAAATTGTAGGAGGCCTATGTGCAGAAAATGGTGAAAGTGTGCAATGATTCAGACCGATGGAGTCTCATCTCCTTGTCCAACAACAGTGGCAAAAACGTGGAGCTGAAATTTGTGGACTCTCTGAGGAGGCAGTTTGAATTCAGTGTAGATTCTTTCCAGATCAAGCTAGACTCTCTTCTTCTTTTCTATGAATGTTCAGAAAACCCAATGACCGAAACTTTCCACCCAACCATCATTGGGGAGAGCGTCTATGGGGATTTCCAAGAAGCCTTTGATCACCTTTGCAACAAGATCATTGCCACCAGAAATCCAGAAGAAATCAGGGGAGGTGGTCTCCTCAAGTACTGCAATCTCTTAGTAAGAGGCTTCAGGGCTGCCTCCGAATCGGAGATTAAATCCCTTCAGAGATACATGTGTTCGAGGTTTTTCATTGACTTCTCAGACATTGGAGAACAACAGCGGAAGCTGGAGTCCTACTTGCAGAACCACTTTGTGGGACTGGAGGACCGCAAGTATGACTATCTCATGACCCTTCATGGCGTGGTGAATGAGAGCACAGTGTGCCTGATGGGACATGAGAGGAGACAGACATTAAATCTGATCACCATGCTGGCCATCCGGGTGCTAGCTGAGCAAAACATCATTCCCAACGTGGCCAATGTCACTTGCTACTACCAGCCTGCCCCATATGTAACCGATGCCAACTTCAGCAATTATTATATTGCCCAGGTTCAGCCGGTGTTCCCGTGTCAGCAGCACGCGTACTCAACTTGGTTGCCCTGTAACTAACAGTTTTGACAGACTTGGTGGGGGAACATGTTTTCTATCAAGCCAACGAAAGGGGGAGGGCAGTATTCCCCTTTAAAAAAACAACAACACACACACATGGGGTGGTTTCTGTGCAATGGTCGTCTGCTCTAGCTTTTAAGATGGAGGAAAGCTATTTGGTTCTTATGTTAAAGGTAGGTAAGAACCAAACACTTACTGGATTCCACCCCACAGCATGAGGCCTGTCATGAAAAGCAAATAGAGTCTCCTTGTAATAAACCAGGGAGGAATGCTTGATGACAATATGGGTGGGCCAAGCCTGCTCCCATAGCTATGGTGTAGTGAAAGTTGGGAAGCCTTTAATTTTAAAAATGGGATCTGCAAAAATAATAATAATAATAATTTTTAAGTGCGGGATGGGGGAGAATTCAAGTTAGGGCTGGGTGGAAGATAAATATGCATCCAGGAATGTAAAGTTAGAGGCATATCATGACAAGCATTGAAATAAGATATATTTTGGAATTACTGCCTTTGGGGCATAAGTTAAATGCTGTCAGTGGAATGATCCCATAGAATGTATAGCTTGCCTGAATAGAATGCTTTAAGAGAAACAGCTTGCTCCAGACAAAGAGCAGTGGATGGGTACAGTTATTTGAAAAAGAGAAGCAGTGTGTGTCTGTCTGAAGGATTACGGCAAATATCATTATTTCCAGCTGTGTGCATGCTTCACATTGTTTTAAAAATGTGGAAAAGCAGGAAGACCAGCTGTAGCAAGCAACATATGCTTCAGGACCAAAGATTTCACAGATAAGTTATCCAAGCAACGAGACGGACACAGTAGACTATTAAATATATATAATACTATATTTGTATACACAAAACATTAAACAAAAGTGCCTGATGCTTTCAGAAAATTTGAAGTGAGAAAAATATAGTTTTGTGATTGAATATTGCATTTTGTTTTTATCAGGGACACAAGAAAACTAAAAATAAGCTCGTGAATAAATGGTGGAGGAAAAGCCTATTTTTTTCCTGAAAAATACCTATATAAAGTTTATGATGATGATGATGTGATGTTACCACAGGTACATGTGTGTATGTATGTGTGTATTTGTTTTGTATGTGTGTGTGTGTTTGTGTGTATATGTGTGTGATATATATATATAAAAATATATATTACACACAGAGACACACATAACATTTTTATATGGTCTAGGAAAATGTAGCATTTAAAAATGTTTTAAATAAAATAAAATGTGTTTTTCAGTCTGCAACAGAACATGAGAATACTGTGGGCACTTTGCAGACAAGAGTTGGTTATCCTGCACCAGAAAATCTGGATACATAAATTGGTCACAAATAAAGTGGAATTCAAATTGTGCTTTTAGCTGCAATGAGAGAACATAAAAAATAATTCATTGGGGTACTTGTGAGCCATAGCACATTCATATCTGGGCAAACTTTTGACTTACTTTTCTTGTTTGATACTGTAACATGGTTTGGACACTTAACTCACTTAGTTCCCTAACTGCATACTGGCATGATGTATTACACCCCCATTGGAATGTGGCTCAAACAGTTACTAGTTTTCCCTGACAGCCAAAAAAATATTGGCATAGCCAGTGATTTGAATAGTTGTTACTAATTTTTTTTTTGAGCAAACAAAATGCACTGTGCATTCCAAGACCACTAGGTGTGAGTAAATGTGAAATAAACCATTACAAAGAGTGTTGCATGGAAGTTTAAAATTTATATGTTATATAGAGATATGTTTTATGCAACTTTCAAACATCTTTGATCTGGTTGTCACACTGCATTTTTCAGATCAGTACTGTACCTTATTTAAAATGCACTTTTGTTTAACATTAACTAATTCTGACTTAATTTTCTTTTGCTCAAGAGTCAGAGAAGAGAGCAAGAAAAGGGTCTTGCTTGGACATTTTCTTCCATTCTTGTCGTGATTGTCCTCCCAAATAGTTTGACTCTCTCCCTACCCTTTTGGGTCACTCTTAAGAGAAAACAACATCTAACAGTGATTGCTTTGGCTGCATCCAAACACAGAGCCAATCAGGCCTTTAAAACAAAATCTTTGGGTGCAAAGACTCTACAACTTTGCATTGGCTTGTGGCATGTGCGTTGTTTTCTTGATGCTAAGGACCGAACTAAAGGTTACAGTGCTGAAGGGGAAATGTCACCATGCCTCCCACCAGTATAGAGTCAGACGGAGCTGTGCTGTACACGCAGTGCACGCAACATCACATTAAAGCAGCATAAAATATTTAAAATGGACGGATTAAGTCAGTTGCTCACTAGGCAATTCAGTCTCCCTTTGTCCCAATAAAACTACTGGCAGTGCCCGCCCCCATCCCACAACTCATTTTAAATTATTAAAGCCTTTGCTATTTTCGCTGTGCTTTTTCATGTCCAAAGGGCAGTTTAACAGGATCTCAGTTTGTTTACTCAACTGCCATCAGTATGAATTCAGCAAGAAATGGCCAGAAAGGAAAATGTATAAATATACATTTTGGTAGGTGCCCAGATTTAAAAAGGCAGTGTGTGCTTCCATCGGCTTTGTCCTCTCACAAATTGAGATGATGCCAAAATCACAGGTTATCCTGTTTGGAGGGGCCTTCCGATGGAGGCTGAGCTGATGGAGGCTGGAGAAATAGGATCGGTTGGTAATGTGGTAGGTCCATCCTTGCCACAGTTATTTTGCTACAAATAATACATTATACATTATCCTTTAAAGCAACAGCTTTTCCCAATTTTTTAAATTCTGGAGTTTTCCTCCTCGTTCAAATCTCAGCTGCATTTTAGGAGAAGCAGGAAACAGTTGTCTTTATATGGAATGCTGCAGGGCTTGATTCATTTGATGAAGAAAAGATGATTTCTCTTATTTCAAAGGTCTAACAATTTTATCTGCTCTTGCTTTTCTATATGAATCCAAGTCTTTAAACTCAAGGGGTTTGGTTGCAACTGGATAGTTGCTTTTTTTAAAAAAGGTGTCTTGGGGTAAGCAATGAGAAAATGTCATGACTTCAGATCTTGGCTTGATGCTCTGCAGAATCCAGTGCTATCAGTTCAACAGAACTGAAGATTAAAGTTTGTTTTACATAAACAAGGCTTCTTTTTCAGTGCTAACACAATTGAGAGTCTCTTAATTGCAAATAGTTTGTGTTTTGTTGGATTAATTGTCAGTAAAAGAAGTTCTCAGTGGGCTGGTGGAGAAAAGTTGAAAGATGTTAGATTCTTTTAAAATAATGCACAATCATTTTAATGTTGCTTATTCTGAAACTCTCATTTGTCCATGTCTGCTGTGTACATGCTAGGTGATTGCATACCTTTGTTATGCTTATGTAAATATCACTCTCATATAGTTAAACATTTCATTTTCAATCCTAGCACATTCAGTGCAGCTAAACGGAGTTGTACTGTATATATAATCTGCAACGTGCAAAAACAAACAAAACTTTAAAAGAAAGCAGACAAAAACTAGGAATCAAGTTAAAAAGGAGAATTCTTGTTTCCATACTTTTCTTTATTTAAAGGCTTTAAACTTTTTTGCTGCTAGATATTGCACAATGTTTCATGCACAGCTTATAAATTCCTGTTGTAAAATGCTTTATATGCAAGTTGTATTATATTGAAGGCTCTTACCAATTGAGAGGAAGCTTTAAAGGGTTTGTGGAAAGAAAAAAATGTAAAGGAAGAAAGAGAGAAAGAGGAGGAGATATATATATATCTAAAAACATAATCAGCACTTTTGTTTTGTTCTTATTTTTATTTCTTTTTATTTTTTATTTTATTTCTCTCTTTTTGTACGGCTTTCTGGTTTCCACTGCAATGGAGAAAATCCAAAATCCATGTACAGGTATTGCTGTTTGCTATTTTTGCAACTAGTTAACACCAGAAGGGTCCAGAGACTTTGGAATGGATTGGGCATGACCTTGCAAACACGTCTAGTCTGTGGGAAGTGATGCTGGTTTTGTTCTCCTTCAAATTCCATGCAACTTTTGTCTTCAATGAAACATCCATTTCCATCCGACTGCTCCCTTCACTGCTCATTTTGGAACTTTTTTTAAACTCTGGGTTCTGTTAGCAGTTGAAATAAAGAGCGGGTGGGAAACAGACACTCGTAACCAACAAAAGCGTTTGCTTCTGTGCTAGAGGGAACAGATTGTGAAACTTGTTTACAGCATCCAATATTTGGATTCTTTTTTGTAAATAAAAATGTTATTTTTTCTATTTCTTTGTGTTGGATCTTTCTGGCATCTAAATCAATTCTGGTTTTTCCCCCCGCTCCAAGTACATTAGAAAGGATAAATATAGCATTTCTGAGAAACAGCTTTTCAATACAGATAGCATCCTCTTTGCTTGGTCAGCAGATGCAGCTGTCCATGGGATCCACAGGTGGGCTTTCTCCAAACTTTTGGAAGGAGGTAAGAGGCGCTTTTTGCACGAGCATGAGGCTGAGCGTGGGTTGCCATGGGGGGATCTCTGGTTTATGTAATGACAAAATGGTGATCACACAGAACTACGCAGACAGAAAGTAATGCTGCAGCCATGTTGCAACAGGGCAGTGGCCAGTAAATCTGAATAGCTCTCACAATGTGGGGTGGATTTCATCAGCAACAAATCAGAACAAATGGCTACTGCCGGGACAGCTGACTAAACATTAATGCAAACAACTGAAGCATCAGAATGCTATTGGCCTATAAATGCTAGCATAGTGGCACATCCAAGGGGGCAGAATGCAGGTTACTACCATATTTAAAGTTAGGTTGTTGAAATTAATGGAATGTACAGTATGTCCAAAATCTTTTGTTTACTTTTATGAGATGTGCTGAAGTGTCAGAAATAACACTACATCAGTGAGTGGAATCAGGAAATAATCTCAGTTCTTGGAAGGTGGCATTGATTTCGCACACAGGAGCAGCTTGGCAAAAAGCACTGACTTGATTTTTAGCATGCCATTTGGAAAGACTTAGTAGGGGAATTCCTTGTGGTCAGTGACTTGTGAATGGTTGTGTCACGAAGGCTTCCTCCTTTCCGCCCCATCACAAAGGGCTGGAAACCTCGATATGTGCTGAAAGGTTGCAGAATTCAGTCACAGGACTACTTTCACGTTGACATGTTGGGGAGAAAGCGGTCATCTGACTCAGCCATCTAAGCAAAGGTGCTGTATTAGTCAACAACGTTAAACAAACAAACAGATCATATACAATGAGGAAACCAATGATGCATTAATTAATTAATTGATTGATTGATTGATTAATTAATTGATTAATTAATTAATTAATTAATTAATATACCATTGTACCATTAGTACAATGCACTATTCTGGGCAGTTAACAATAGATCAAACAAATGGAGACAAAATGTTGAAA